GGCAGATTGCGCGCAGAGTCTGTCGACAGACTATGACGACAGATTGGCTGCAGATTGCGCGCAGATCCTGTCGTTTCGTAGGTTCTTCAATTAAATTTTCTCATAATTTTTCATAATTACTCATAGAATAAGCGCTTTCTCATAAATACTCATAAAATACTATGACAAAAAAAATTTTTCTACATTATTTTTTCATAATTTTTAATATTTTCTTTAGTGAGATTCGAACTTGAACTGAAGACATCTTTTGGATAATCGTCCGTCGCCTTAGACACTACGCCAATTCCTCACTTGATAAAAAGCGCTTTGTATTGTCCATTTAAAGTTTAAGGAAGAAAAATATTATAGTTTGTTCGCCTTTTAAGCCGCAAAATATAGACGAAACCGTTTAGCGTATAAATAATGTAAGAGAGACTGGTACGATAATTCGAAATTAATTTTCTACCAAGGAATGTATAGAAAATTACTGCAATAAAACAGCAGATAATGACATTTTTCTATCATGTTAATAAAATACTGTACTTTTACATGTGCGAATTAATTTGGTCGATCGTCCCGTTCAGATTGTATTAAGTTTTATCAAAATCGAAGCATGATATATTTTTAAATAAACCATCGAAAAAAATTCTGTAAATTTATTTACATAGCGAGACTAATATTTTATTCGGTGCTGCTGCCTTCAGTACTTATTGCATGACGGTTAAATCGGATTTAATGACATAACAACATTTAAAAAAATAATAAGATGAGAAATTGTATGAAAAATTATGAGAACAATTTTTACCAGGAATGACATGTGTACGCCTTTAAATGGCCATTTAACCGTTGTACTATTCTATACTTGTACTCGTTATTTCTCTATTATTGTTGCTTTTTTATAAAAAATGTGTAATACAATTTTAAAATATAAACATTGTTTATTATTGTGTATATGTGTACAATTATTGCACAATATAATTATCTTGACTTCTCTGCAGCAGTTTTACATGGTGTGTATGTGAAACTGCCCCATTTAATAACGTACATATGGCCATTAATAGAATTAAACAGCCTATCTAGGAAACAGAATCTGCGCGCAATCTGCCGTCAGTCTGTCGTCAGAATCTGTCGACAGGCTTTGCGCGCAGTCTGTCACCAATCTGTCGTCAGAGACTGCTAAAACAGTTTCTGTGTGCAGTCTGTTGCCATTCTGTCAACAGATACTGTTGACAGACTCTGCGTAAAATCTGCTCGCACAGGTTTGGCTATCTGGGTATATTCCAAAAGTATTTGTGTCGTTGTTTTGCAGCAGTTCGAGAATTTACAGCATTGAAATAACTTATTTATTGAATAGAACTCGGAACTTTAATATGAAGAAGAGATTAAAATTTGCATTATTATTAGTTAATTTTTAACTAAACATAACTCGGGATAGTTGAACATGTATTGAAATCTAGATTATCGGAAATAGTACAAAATTAAATCAAAATTAAATATTATCAATTTTCTTAAATAAATTTATACTTAATGAAATCAAAATTATATATCATCAATTTTCTTAATTGTTATTTATGTAACAAAGTAATCTTCTGCGCATGTATGTGAAATATTTTAGAACATGATCCGAGAACTTGGAAAATTTTAACGTGTGGCAAATATGGAAATTTGCGCAGGCTACGATCTGGGATCCTATTTTTGAATAGCAAACATTAAATAGCAAACATTAAGTATGCCTTTTCAATTTCATGTTTCATTTTTCTTATAAGAAAATAACATAATATTATCATGTTAATCAGAAGATAATATTTAATACGTGTTCAAAATAGAGCCTTAGGTCGCACGCAATTACAACTTCTATCATTACCGTGTTGACGGGGCGCAGCAGCCATGGTTGGACGGCGAATGATGAGTAAAATTTTCCCACCATATCTTTCATGACCCTGTAATCCTTGCAAACGCGAATCGCGATTTACTTATTCAAACATACACGATAAAAAATAGTGATATTTAATATATTATAATACATAAAGTATGTTATAACAACATGTTAACACATCTCCACTTTTAATATACTGTACTCATAGTTTAAATTAGCATACATATGTGTGTTCTAAATGCTTGGTCTCTCTCTCTCTCCCCTCTCTCTCCCCCTCTCTCTCTCCCACTCCGTCTCTCTCTCTCTCTCTCTCTCTCTCTCTCTCTCTCTCTCTCTCTCTCTCT